GGTGTTTCTATACTAATGCCTGCCGGTGTTTCGTTCATCTAAGCTATCTAAGCTATCTATATACTAACATATCCCAACATTAACTCTAATCCGATTTCATTTGTCTCAACGTCGATATTCTGGATAGAATAAAATGGTCGTCAGTTTATGCATAGAAGAGTCAGAAATAAATTAACAATATTGGCCTTAGTAAAACTCACCGAAAGTATGTTCCCCGCATAATAAGGTCCTCGAAATTTCTGAACAAAAAAATAGAGATTAGACTTTACAAGCTATGAATCACTTCCTTGCAAATGCACAGTCACAGCCGAAAAAAATATATTTCATTCATACCTTAATTGTGAAGTGTCTCGTCCGGACTTTAATAATTTTTTCGTCAACACTTCTTAAATAGGTTCATGCTCGGAGAAAATAGCACGACGGCTTGGGGTCGGAATAAGAAAAAAAAAGTTGTATACGTAAAATCTTACATCAGAGAAAACGCCTTATGACATAATTTAAAATTAATTTTATTGGCTACTAATTGTTGTACAACCGGAATTAATAAATACCTCGTGAATGCAATCTGAGTAACGATAAAATCGTATGAATCGTGAATCACTTTTTTCGCTTTCCGATAAATTAATTTTATAAACTTTTTTTTACTATGCTTATATCATTTATATCATTATATCATATTTTGTGTCATCAATTAAGAGTTTATAAAGATCATTTTATAATTAATCATGATGTATTCAGAAAGGTATATATATACTCTCAAGGTATCAAACTATCTCCTTAAAAACTTATACTCTTAAAACTTATACTCTTAGTTAACTTATATTTCAGTTCCGAAATAATGGTACTCTGTCTCGTTCTAAATGAAGATAAGAATGTTAATAATCGGTTCATAGTTGACATAGATAGTGAAGTATGGAAGAAAAAAAAGATTTCACATCTTCAACGTCTTATTAAAAAAGAAAAAGAAAATGCTTTCGACAAATTTGATGCAAGCGATCTCGAGTTATGGAAAGTTTCTATTCGTACCAATGAAGTAAACGGTGAATTTGACGAAAAGCTGAAGATACTTATGAACAAACCTCATATGAATATTAATATTAAAGAAGAGCTCGATGGTTTGCGGTTGGTTGCAGAAAATAATATTAGAGATTATATTGATGAGAATCCTGATGACGATCACATTCTTATCATCGTGAAACCTCCCACCACTGGTAAGTGTCTCCCAACGTTTTACCTCTCGAACATGAAATTTGCAGAACAAAATTTCGATTTGGTCTGATCTCTCTTTTTTTAATTGTTCTTAGCTACTGGACAAAAACGATACGCAGATTCAGGTATGTTTTTGACACAATGATGAGCTCAAAACACGAATATACTACTAACGGTTGATGATATTCACAACTATAGAACCTGTTGACACAGAACCAAAACGAAGAAAGGATACCCCTACGCTTGAAAGTTTGATTGTCGACCTTGGAGATAAAATCCCTCTTGACAAACCCCCAGTACTTTATCCTATTTCTAATATTGCCGGGCGTTTCCACAAAAGAAATATACCAATTAGCGGTAAGAACTATGTAGATATGCGTTTAGATGATGTAGATACTACTGATACGGGCAGAGAGCTTATCGACAAATTAAAAAATGAAACCCGAGCTTGCTATTTGCTTTATGCCGTTTCTGGAGCTGGCAAAACTAGAACAATTTTTGATATGTCTATGAATGAAAATGGTATCTACGTAGTGTATGTGGAGTGTAGACCATCGTCAGATATTAGTAATCGGGAATATGAGCCAACAATGGATCGTAATTTTGCACAGCTTGTTGCAACAATAGAGTCAGCCTTTGGACCATATAACGATAGTATTAATAACTCTGCTAGAGCAGTAGCAAAGCGACTTATTATTTTAGAATATACTGCACGGATTCTTTACCTCATTCTTCTCAAAAAGAAGTTCCCGGATATTACACCTCGTGACTATCTTCTATCCCAGCTCAACGGCGGACAAGAATGTATCGCAATTATAAAAGGTTCATTGATGCCTATTGAATATACCTTTAATGAACTGGAAGTAATTATTAGTTCTGCTTTAAGATACTTAAAGGTAATAATCTATTGATTAAATTAATAAAATTGCATTTACTCTTATAATGTACATTTTAATTTGTTTGCAATATATATAACAGGATGAATTACCCGGTCAAAAATCACTTATTTTTGCCATTGATGAATCCAATGTTGCCAGCAATAAACTTTTCAGTGGTTATTTTCGCAATATCAATCAAAAACCGCGTGGTTTATTAACGCCAATGATTGAGATTCTTAGATTGTTTGAAATTTCAACAGTAATCGCCGGCACTGCATTTACCCTTAAACAGGGCAGTGATGTCCAAAGTGATATCGGCAAAGGAAATGAGGCAAATTATATAATTAACTTCAATACAATAGACAGCAAAGAGGTTGAAACCTACATTATGCGTTATCTTGATTTATCAGACTGTGAACTTGGCAAGATCGAAGATAGTAAATATCTTGTTGGTCGTCCTCGTCTGATGGCTCGCCTTGTAATGGAAATAATAAATGCAGAAGGAGTGCCACGAGAAAACAAACAAATTGTGCTTGAATACGCTGTAAATAAGACAGTGCAGTCTATCAAGAATGATATGATACGCCATCTTGAAGTGATAGTAAATGAAGCATATGAAAAGGAAGATTTGGGGAATGTAGAATTACGAAAAATCTTGATGACACTCTTTATTAACTGCTGGTATGTTCTTGACATATTTATTGTTTATTCATAAACTGATAACTCACTATAGTAAAATGATATTTCAAGGTTCTTTGATGGTTACGTATCTAAAGGTGAAATAGATGATAATTCAGCAAAATTAGTCGACTGTGGCATTGCTTCATTGAAATCAGACGAAGATAAAAAATTTTGGCAAGTCAAGGAACCTTTAGCGATAGAAGTTGTTAAAATTGTCCTTTTTTCCAGGTACAACAAACCTACTGAACCGACGATTGAGAAACTCATACATGAATTACGACGATCCGTTTATTGTAATGACAGCTCAGATACATCTAAAGGAATCATTTGGCAGTATCTTGTCATAGGAAGATTAATAGATTTTAAAAGTAAAACAGTTTATGAGTTTGTTAGTGAGATTTATGGCGATCAAACACATCTGCCAGATTGGACTAAAGAAGCAATAATCAATATTGAATCATATGGAAATAACCAAATGTTTTCTCGACTTGATGCTGAATTGAAAGATGATGTGGATGTTATTGAAAATCTTTTAAACTATTCAAGGTTTTCGAAATATTTACTTGTACCTGAACATTTAACACGTCCAGATGGTATTTATATTGGCAAGCTGGATGTGTCTACTATCTGGACCTTACTTCTCAGTACAAAAATGCTCACCGAAAATTTGTCAGGTGAAGATTTTAATGCAGACAAACGTTCAACAGATTGGAATCTTCTATATTACAAGAAGAATGGCAAAGAAATTATTAGAAATTGTGAAGGACTGAGGCAAAAACTTGATAAGGTGCGCAATAATTTTACCTGTAAAGGTTCATTGCGAATACATTTCATCTTACCTGGTGTAGCGAAAAATCGCACTTCAACTTTAAGTAGAGGTGGTTGCCACACTGAAAATAATGATGTCATTATGTATATTGATAAAAATTTGTTAGAATGTTATTTTTCAGAGTATGCATCTTCTTTAAGGAAAATTCTTGTTGAATACAATTAATGTAATATTCTAGAACTTCTTATCCAACCAATATCCTACTGCGATGCTTCCTATTTTTTTAAATTTGCTCAAATGTACACTGCATTAGATAATGTAAAACAATGTATAATAGAAAAAAATCTAAATCAAAAATGTGTAAATGAAATAAATTTATTATATTAAATTGCATGATCTGAATCAAATTTTATGCGACGTTACTGCGTATTTGTTTATTGTATATTCGATTACAACTTTCATATAGGACGCTATCCAAGTGGGACTTTAGGTCTCACTTTTTTTATTCACCATACACCTCTATATCCCACGCTTGATACAATGTAGCAAACAGATTACATGATTCAGTTTGTAATGCCCGTTAGCAAAATTTGCAAGAAAAATTTTTTTATTAATACAAGCAAAAATAAATACAAAGCTTGGGACTTTACCCAATCATAACTCTATGCTAAATAAAGCCACCTAAGGACCTATACTGAATATATATTTTTTCACAGACTTTGAGTATGTGAGAAGTCGACTCCACCCTATGATCAAAGATTTATTTTCATGCATTATCACATCATAGGTGCAACCGTGAAGAATCTTCACGATCAAAAATCACGTGAGTATTCAGGTCAAAAATTCACTTGAACACTTATCTTCATGTAATCTCAAGTCAAGACGCCATGAGGTATTTCCTCATCAGTGATTATTGTACTAAAAATTTTTATTTGATACACGCAAGAAATAAATACAAAAGTTCTATCCGCCTATCTATTCAACCACGAGATTACTCAATGACTTTAACCTTTCATTCCCCTCTAAATGAAATACCATTTTCCGCATCTGTTATAACCCCCTTACATTTATCCATATTATACTTATGATTGCTTTGTGTTTGTGAGATAGTGAAGACAATCTGAATGGCAACTGTGCAAAGCTTCATCTTTTGATAAAATGTCAGTTCTTTCAAAACCTAACATTCTTGATAACACTTCAAATAAAAAATCACATGCACATGAACAATTGTTTACACCAATTACTTTTGCCAAAAAAAAATTTTTATTAATACATAATATAAACTTCGGGACTCTGCCCGTTATACATGATATCTATATAACATACAAGGGTGGGCGAAGCCTATTCCTTAATATATTTTTTCGTCCTTGCTCTCTTAATATTAGGAGAGTCATCAACCTTCACCTTATTCTTCAATTATTTCTATAATTTTCTTCACACCTCGGCAAAGTTCACCATCATCATCCAAAATATCTTCAGTGAGGACGATGTGATAGTTGGCTTTTGTGCAATAGATTCTTTCTAACATGTACATTATGAAGTGCTGTGGTAATAATACCATAGAGATAATTGAAGTAAATATTGAAAGCTTCATCTGCCTTTCGTTTTCTTTTATTTGTATGAAAGGAGCTTTTGAATTGCATGATATTCTGCATAATGCCTAAGACTTCTTGATTCTACTTTCTCTCTGTGATACATATTAATTCTTGATGAATGGCATCTCTTATTTTTTGATCATATAATCGACTCGTTCTGTTGCTTCTTTACCTACAATTTTGAACTGCAGATTTAGGGAGAGTTTTTCCCCAGTAATTCTTTTAACTATGTAGATAGATGCGTGTAATATTGTGAAAATATACTCATAGTGTACAGCCTCATTACTAGTACTTTTTGCAGGACCCAAATTACCTATTTTATATTTAATATCATCTATACATCATTGAAAAAATTCATCACTGTCATCGATTTTCTTCGTCTCTGTGAAAAGGTCAGCTTTTATTAAGTTTTTAGCCAAAGACACGAACATAATGCATTACTCAAGAATTTCTACTACAAACTTACCCAGCTTAAAAAGGGAATATTTTTTATATCATTGCTGTCAATTCCATACTTGCTTAATACTTCTCTTAAGTTTTTCTAGGTTTTGTAAGATAAGAACGACTTTAATTTATGCTTGCCAAGTTTCTTAGTGAAGTCAGTAAGATCTGAAGCGGGTCTTAAGCCTAAACCAATATTGCAAAATTTTTCTTCAGTTATCTTGAAAAAGATACAACCAGTAATAATCTCTCCTTTTTGATTATATTATAATCCTTCTGAACAAGCTTCAAGTCCTCTTCCTTACGTAAAAAATCTATAAGCTTCTTCATTTTATATTTTTTAATTTTGTCTGCCAGCGAGACTGTCTTATTTCTAGCAACAGTAGTGGAGGTGGAAAAATAAGAACAAAAATAGAATATACTTTTAATAGAACGCCAAGTTAGAATATATATAAGAAAGAAATAAAAAGTTATAACTTGATGTCCTACCGCAATAGGTAGGAAAGAGATTGAGAAGGCAGAAAGGTTCAGGAGAATACACAAAAAAAGGAGCAATATAGCCTGAACTAATTTAGCACTTTGCATATGCTAGACTAGCAGTAATTAGGGATACCCTAAAGTAGTAACTATACAAGAAAGAGTTTAAGAAATGCAGGGATGAAAACTAGAGTATATATTTGATAGTATCCACAGATAGAATTATATAGAAATAAAATAAGAAATTATGCTTATAGATACTATCGCCGATAGGCAGGAAAGGAATCAGAAAGGCAGAAAGGTTTAAGAGAATATACAAAAAAGGGGTATAAAAGATTGATATAGTAATAACCCAAAGTAATCAAGTATAGGGTAGGGGTACCCTAAAAAAGCAACTATACAAGAAAGAATTTTAGAAAGGCTCAGGCGAAAACTAGGGTATAAATTTGGTAGTATTCACAGGTAGAATTATATAGAAATAAAATAAGAAATTATGCTTATAGATACTACCGCTGATAGGCAGAAAAGGAATTAGGAAAACAAAAAAGCTCAGAAAGATGCACGAAAAAAGAGTATGAAAGTAATATAGCCTGAACTAATTCAGCATTTCGTGTCTCATTCTCAGCAATCACAAAAGGCAGGATTGTAAGAATGGCATAACACTGATACTTCGCAAAACTTAACAAGGTACTAATAAATAGATGCATGTGAATTGAACTTTTTTACATGTAATACTCGCAAGGATATTACTATACCCAATATTTACTCTATATTCAATTAAGATGAAATATGATAGAAACACTTATGGAATATGAATATACTTTATAAGATGAATAAGATAAACATTATACTTACTCGTTTTGTAATAATAGTTTAACAATATCTCGTAAAATTATGAAAAGCATTTTGAACGATGAGTTTTTGTCATTCCTGTCGCTAAAATTTTGCATGATAGGCTGTCATTGAAAATAGAGGTAGCAAATTAACTGCGTTATCTATCATCTTTTTTTTACATTACTTTAGCTTCTAGAAAGGCAACCAAATAGACGCTAAAACCGTGATCTGTGATTGCGCTACAGATAAGTCATGTGATCAAAATGATTCGACATAGTTGACAAAGTTGACGAAGTTGACAGAGTTGTTAAAGTTGTCAACGTTGATCAATTTAACATATTTATC